GCAAAGCCCTCTCGTCAAAGTGGGATAGATATATGCTGTGAGAAATCTACCTTTCTTGTTTTGAGCCACTGAGATTTGATGGCACTTTGTCATTGCAGCATTACTTACCCGGCTTTTCTGATATCCCCCCTGTTCTATTTCCCACACTGATTCTGCACTCCCCATCAGCTGCTAATCGAACCCTGGCCTAACAATTTGCTCAAATGCACTTTTCCATTCTTCTTCCTTCTGCTCATAAGGAAATGCCCTTCTCATGACCCTCTGCTGGAGAAGGTTCCCACAGGACTGTTGGGGCTCTTTATATTCCAGGCATCTTCTCAAGAAATACAGATACTGGACCCTGGGACAGAGGATGTTAAGACACAAATTTTCAAGCACCTTTACCCCCAACTACCCCTCATTCCAAAATGTCTGCCATGATATTTACTTTGTCAAAAGTCCTAGATTTATTTTTCACCTAAAAAATGTTTTCTTGGGACCCCAGCACCTCTGTTCCTCCTGAGCCTCATGTAGCTTCTTTCACTGGTCACTTTGCCCAAGCCCCAAGGCCTCTTTGGGCTCTGATTGATGTCATACAACATGGCCAAACATTTGAATACAAGGAATTCAACAGAGAACATCTTCATACACTGAATGTGAGAGGGGAAGAAAAAAACACCATTAAAAGGTTTACCTTTTCTATCAATGGACTAAAAATTGGTTCTTAGGTAGGAGGTAATTTTTACCTCCTAATGGACCATTTTTGCAATTTCTGGAGGCATTTTTGGTTGTCACAACTTGAAGGGGTGTTACTACCAGAACCTGGTAGGTAGCCTTGGCTAAGTCAAGATTTAATTAGGAATATGTGTTTTTAAACTAAGATAATTCACTACTCTGGGTGCTTCCATCTCACAACATATTATCTCTACTTGCAACCAACAATAAGAGTAAGACAAAGGAAATGACATACTATTAATAGCAAATAGCGTTATCCCAATAGTCATCAAAACTCTTACAAAAGTTCTTTTAACTGTCACTTGCTACCTGATATAAAAAGAGGACGATTGACTCTCTCCCAGGAGATTCCATGAATTACTTCATCATTCTCTTAGGAAAGATCTGAATCTCACAAGGTTAATTGTTTTCTCACAAAGTTAGGCTATCTGAATCACAGCTTACTTTTTTAAAGGTGCTACAAAGTAAAAAAAAATAAAATGTTGACCTTGATTTCTCTCCTGAGGGCCTGCAATGAGGATACAGAACGAGATCTCTTGTTCTCCTAAACAGAAGTTGAGCCAATAACATGGGGCATGAGCCAAAACAATGTCTGGTGTCCTGGAGCTAAGGAAAATGTTGGCACACGGTGCTGACTCGCAGCTGTGTCAGTCTCATTTAGTGGCTGGTCCCACTCCCCGCAGCCCAGTTTGCCTTTGGAAACAGCTCAGCTCGCCATGCTGCAGCATGTGATTAAAACCACTGACAAAGGAAGGTTTCTTTATAGTTAGCTCTTTGTCTCTAAATCTTTAGAAATCTTGACAAGTGCTGCTACGAAATGTAGATTGCTTTTTTTTTTTTTTTTTTTTTTTTTTTTTTTTTTTTTTTTTTTTTTTAAGAAAGAAGACGCATAGCGCTTTCTTAATGTGTACATAATTGGGCATATTTTTATCAACAAACCAAATACAATCCTGTGGGAAAAGATACCTTTTCAAGATGGAAAGAAAAAATGACTAATTTAACCATACACAATGCTGTTATAAGAAAGGAGTTCTGTGACTTCATCCACTTACCATGTGCATTTTTAGGTTGCTAACCAGAGCCTGCCAACAACCCGTGAGAGGGAGACCTTTCTAAGAGCAGAGCCCTATCCTCAGGAACTAAAGAGCTTAAAAATTAGGGAGGATGCCATATTTTGACTTAAAACAGCTGTGCCTGCATGTGAAAGGGGATAAAAGGTGAAATGAGCCTAGTCTAGACACTCTGAATTCTCCCACTGGCCAAAGGAACAGTAAGAAAGGGTTACAGTTCTTTCCATAAATGTCAAGGAAATAATTCCATTGGGGAAAGTTCACTCATTTTCTTAGGAAATTGATTTTTAAAAAGCAGAAACGTTATGTTCATGCCCAGAAAACCATTGGTGGTAAATCAAATAACTTCATTTAATTGTATTATGTTAACTCAACTTTCCTCATACTCTAAGACACTATAAAATAAGTGACTATCCGGGATCTTTTGAATATCAGAGCAAGCAATCAGGTAACTGATAACCTTTAATAAATTAAAGGACTCATTGAAGATAACATCAAAGAATTTCATTCTCTAGTTTAATAAAGTGAATGGTAGTGAATTTGGAACTGATAGCATGGGCTAAAACTATTCAAGGATTAGTAAAATAAATGGCCCCTAAGCTTTATCTATTATCTCATTAAATCCAATCAATTTTTATTGGCATCTCATTAAATACTTTAAATAAGATTTAAATTTTTCCAAAACCTAAGTTTTCACCTTTGTATAAAAGCACAGCTTTTATATGTACTTAGTAAAGTATTTCTAAAATGCATATTATTATTTCCCACCTCCTTAAATATACTGTAAATCAAGAATTCTTAACCTGGGAGATCACAGACCTGAGAGGAAAGAGTTCCATGAATGGTTGTGTAGAGTCCAAAAGTATATGCAGAATTATGTAGCCTGGCTGTGCTTCTAATCAGCCTCTCAAATTGATCCAGAAGTCACATACACTAGCACATTTTTTATGGATCAGGATGGTCATTATGAGCATCTACTATTGGACCACCATTCTAGAACACAGTCATGTCCTCAGGAAATCTATACATATAAAAGGCTAATAAGCAAAGTGTCCCCCCAGAAGAAACCTGGGCTTTGATCGCTCTCTATGATGTGTGCTGACCACTAGGTGCAGCACAGTATGAAGGAAGCCCTGGCCAGCAGTCAGAAGGACCCGATCAGCCCTGATCATTGGCCAGGCCTAGGGACTCTACCTGTGCATGAATTTTGTGCACTGGACCTCTAATATTAAAATAAATAGGTCGATTTGTCCAACCACAAAAATGACTCCAAGTTGTCATTTTTAAGCACCAGTCAACAATAGAGAAACAGTAAAATTCACCATGAGTAAAAAATCCTCTAAGTAATAATTTATTTCTAGACATTCCATAAATAATTTCTTTCCTCAATTTTTTTCCACTAAAGCTATAAGTTAAAGTCTAATTATAGGTCTCAATTGATGATAACATATTAAAAGTTACTTATTAATTTGTATGTCCACATTGCCCAGCACACAGCATGACACATAGCAGATTCTCAATCGCTGTGTAACATGACTATCAAAAAGTTACATAGTATAAGAAACTTCTCTGTTTATTCTACTCCCTGTAGTTTACAAAATAAAATATGCCATAAAATTATTAATGTGCATAAATATGCCTATGTAAGACCTTCTGGTTTTATTAAACTAGTGTTTCTTATTTTATTATTGTAGATAATGAAATCTTAGAGAAAGTTTTGATTCTCTAACTTCCTAAATCAGTTTCAACACCTAAGATTCTAAATCAATCATTTGGGTAAATTCAGGCAAGTAACTTTGCCTCTTTAAGCCTCAGTTTCTTCATCTAGAAAATAAGGGTGTTGGACAAGATGTTGATCACACAGTATCATTCAGCTCTTTAATTATATAACAATGTTTTGAAACTTTGTTAAAGTAAAATTTTCAAAAATTTAAAATCATGAATCCCAAGCTAATAAAATTATATGACTTGGCAGTCAAAAGTGTATTAAAGGAAACTTTTCAAAAAAACATAAAACTGTGACTCCTAGGCCTATGTAAAATGAGCATATGTCAAAAGATTTTATTTAAACAATTAATTAAAGAGGGACTCACTAAAGTGGTAAAATCATTTCAAAGAGTATGTCAAAAGCTAATATTTATACTCAATGTTAGGATAAGATTACTTCACTAGATATAAAACCAGTTAATGTACAAGAGGGTAATAAATTATAAAATAATTAGGGTTATCTTTTTCACCAGACAGAAATGATCTATATCTCTATGGTATAAAAATCTACACTTAAACTATGCCCTACAACATGGTTAAATAGTCCACTCAATTAAAAAAAAAGTCAAACACAGCACTCCACTGAAAAAAAAAATCCTCAAGAATAATCTCTTCTGGCTATTGCCAAGTCAGATAACTTTTCTGACAAGTGGAATTATTTTTCATGAATAGCAAATAGTTCTTAATTCTTGATAATACCACTCAGTTTTTAGAGAAAAGTCTTGATCATCTTTATTTGACCCTCACCCAATTTCCAAAATATATTTTTTGACTAATGCCCTACATATGTCTCACTTTGTTCTGGACTAAGATAAGCATTAGAATTTCATAAGTTTTAGATGACTCTACATCTAGGATATTTTATTCATTAGATATAATGTAATGTATATTTCAAGGCACAATTGATAAAAACAAGCTATTTCACAAGTTTAGAGATTATAAATATTTTAAGCAACCTAAGGTTGAGAATCATTAACAGGGTGGTCTAAGACCATCGGAAAACACAGATATTTACATTATGATTCATTAACAGTAGCAAAATTACAGTTATGAAGTGAAGTAGCAATGAAAATAATTTATGGTCAGTGGTCATCACAACATGAGGAATAGTATTAAAGGATCACAGCATTAGAAAGGTTGAAAACCACTGCTCTAAAGGAACCTGTAAACATAATTGTAAGACTCACCCAAAGCAACAAAAGCCAAAATTTCTCTTATAGTTTATGATATCTGTTAACTAATTTGCATACTATTACAACAATGCTTTATGTACACCAAGAGAAAATATAACACCACTAATAACAATATCAAATATATGTCTACACAAATACAATTCAATACAATTCTGGACTATTTAATTGTTTCTTTTACCATGCATAAAGGTAGCAAATATTCACCTATACTTAACTTCTAAGAAGTAACTCATCCACAGAAGAAAATTAACTCATCTACAAAAAGAAAAAGCATACATTTTTAATTTCTAATATTTTATTACAGATTTTTAAGACAACAGTTATTTTCAGATCACCAACTTAAAGAAAACAAACCACTCAGAAGAGCTTTTGTATGTCTGCCAAGGCAAATTGTTCTGTTTTAAAATTATCAAGTTATAAATAAACTACATAATGTGCTTATGAGAACCAAACCACAGCATAATCTGAGTATATTTGAAAGGCACAGAGTATCTTCATTGTTTCAGTAAGAGAAATGAAGAGCATTACTTATTAGAATTAAAAGCCTAGTCTTCCACTATCCATTATTCAAAAATAATACAGCATGAATTATTCACTGATTATAAGACAAAATATACTGTTAAAAAAGCAAAGGTGACTAAAACTAACGTGTCCCTGGACTTTTTGTTTAATATTAGCATCTCAGAATAAATGAAGGCATAATAAACAAAGCCAGACCCACATGTTTGAGAAGACCAAGCTGCCCAAAAGCAGCAGCTTGAGACACAAAATTAAAGTTCACTTCTAAGAAGGCTGGAATTCCCGCCACCAATATCACAGCTTTGATGAAGATGGTATATTTCGTAAAAAGCATATTAAGATGCAAATATGCCACTTTGATAAGACAAGGTGTAAGGCAACTTGACAGAGTTATTTCAAGTCAGTGGCTCAACACAGAACCTAGGTCCTCAAACTTTTGTTTGGTCAATTTTTCATTAATATAATGATTGATTAGAAGAAGAAGAAAAAGCAATCTTAAAAAGGCCAAATAGCCCTAGTTTATTTGGCTCTGTGGATCGAGCATAGGCCTTCGGACTGAAGGGTCCTGGGTTTAATTCTGGTCAAGGGCACATGCCCAGGTTGTGAGCTCAATCCCCATTGGGGTTGTGCAGGAGGCAGCCAATCAATGATTCTCTATAATCATTGATGTTTCTCACCCCCCCCACACCCCCACCCGCCTCCTTTCCTCTCTGAAATTAATAAAAATGTAAATTTTTTAAAAGGTCAAATATAAAAGGCCAATTACAACAGGTAAAAGTGAAGACTCAGCAGAACTAAAGAGCCCTCTGAATATGTGAGGCCAGAGGAAGAGACTCAGGGCTGTACAGGGACAATCAGATAGGATAATGGTCCGAAGACAATTCGCCAAATGGAAGCCCAGCAAATAAGGGTGCTAAATAGCAGTACTTGAATATGAGCCTAAAACAGCTATAATTAGATGCTAAAATGATTCCTTTCTCCTTGTTCTATCGTCTGTACTTAACATGTTATTTTACTATTTTGACCCTGTACTTTTGTATGAATTAGAATCTATAGATATGTTCTCATTGTTATCAAAAACATTCTTAAATTTATTATTATTTAAAACATCATTAAACTGCATTTTAAAACTTTCAGGGAAAGGAAAAGTCAGTACATCAGCTTTTAAATAAGGGGTGAGGTATGTGGGACGAGAAGGTAATAATGACTTGTTCAAAGTCTGAAACCTCTTTATGAACATTTGTCTTACATAACAATGTGAGTATCTTCCAAGGATATAAAGACCCAACACATGAACACCACATGCCACACTCTTCCACCTAATTAAAAAGTTGGTAGAGTTTGGGAAGAATTCTTTAAGGCTTAATAATATCCAAATATGCTGTTTTAGTTCTAGTCATGTGCTTTCTTTGAGGATCAATTACCAGAATCAAGTTTTAATTTATTTTGTTCATATTTCTTATATTAGAATAAGCCAAACTATATTTAAACATAGTCAATATCTGATCCTATTGTCAACATCTGGGTAATATTAAGCAAATCAGTTTAAATGTAATTATACCAAACCAATTTGAAGAAATCTATTATTAATGAAAATACAGAAATTATATATAAACTTTGTAGAAATTACAAATGTTTTTAAATAACATCTTTTTAAAAAACAAGTGGAGGGGAATACTCCATAAGTACAGTTTCAAGTAGGTAACATCAAACCTTAAAATTATTTAACTTATAAGCCACTAGACTAGACATAAATAGGACCAAAATTGAGAGGGCAAAACTATCTAATGTATAAATTGTCAGATATGGATAAATTTCTACACTGACAACAATTTCTAAAAGGGAATGAAAAATGTGATTCTTACTGCTCAGAATCACAGAAACAACTAATTATTTATAGATACAATAGAATATAAACTGGTAGTTTTGCAAATAACTTACCATTTCTATTTAGAATTATTGAAGGCACTGATGTATTTGTAGATCATGTGCCTCGGTTTTCCAGTTTAGCGGTGCCCCTGGATAAGTGCTGGGACTTCTGTTTTAGCAATCAGCAACAAAAATATTCAAGGTTCATTCCCACTAGTATTTGGTCAGACCAGTTGAAAATGGCACAAAATATTTCTTAAAGGAGTCAGCTTATACTGTTCTATTCAACAATATGACAAATGTTTTAACCAAACTTAATGTCATAATAATTGCAACCATTTTGTAATCAGATGTTGGAAATCACATGACAATGGCAGTGAAAATATAAACATTTTTGAGGAGAATATTTTTTAAAGCTTTATAAGTCTGCTTATGGCATGCAGGCCCACCATATATACTTGGTTAAATTCATTTATTTTATGTATTTAGCTACTCTATCTCATTCCTAAGAGGAGTTGAAGTTTGAATACTTGATTTAGAAATAAAAATGCATAAATGTATCCAGTCCTCTAGCCAGAAGACCCTTTTGTTATTCATTCATAGGCAATACTTTAGCCCCATGTGCATTGATGTAGGTGAGAAGGATTTTGGCTCTTTGTTCTATTACATCAATAAGCTTTTCAATTCCTTGTCTACCTCCTTGACTCTCCCAATAAACTTTGTCAAGAAACAGTGATTGAAGGAGTTTCTGCCGTAAGTGCTGGCTCTTCAAAACAGACACTGCAGATTCAGGAAACCTGAAAATATAAAATCATATTTCATTCTTAGTGATTGTTTGGAAATATCAGACCTTCTCCAACTGCTCTATTGTTCATTAATCTGGCATAAATCACACTATCAAATAGTACCTTGAGAATCAAAACTTTTTTATCACTGTCAAGATAATACTTATCCTAATAGTAATATATTAGAAAATATGTTTCAAGAGAAATGAATTATCTATACCAATGAGAACTTGACATACCAGCATTTGACTTAAGATCAGTATGTGTAGGCAACCAGAGGCACAGAATTCAAAAGGTCTCTGTTAGCCTAGCAAAAATACTTTCCTTATTCCTAAACTCCATTTCTCCCATGGAAACCACTTGAATCTGTCAAGTAGTATAGTATCCTCATAACTGTCAATGTGGAGTTTTATGCAAGTAAATATGAGAAGCAAATGCTGAGAAATTCAGTAAAGTTCTCTACCTGAGTAGAAGTTGAATGACCGAATTTAAGGTAAAATATTCCAAAATATATGCAGGAAGAAGAGAAAGAATCATTCCAAAATGCCCAATTAATAAAGAAGTGTCTTTGACTCGGATTAAACTTCAGGAATTCTGAGAATCTGGGAGCATCTTATGAAACTGGAATACTAAATTGTTTTCAAATAAACATAGTGGAACTCAAGGATGAAAGCCAGGGCATTCCACAATTAACTATCTCTCTGGAAAACCTTAGAAGGGTCCTTATTGAATTGCCCTATCAGAGTGCTTTCTGTTCTTCATTCAGAAAGTATACAGTCAAGGGTCTAAGACAAACATTATCTGGAGAACTTTGTAAAATTTCTGGTTCAAAATTACAAGTAATGTTTGCTGAATCAAAATTAGAAGTAACTACAGGCCCAGGGCATGGATTTGTGCACCTGTGGGGTCTCTCAGCCTGGCCTACTCCCTCTAGCAATATGGGACCTCTTAGGGGATATTGAAAATTAAGCTGCTCCCGCTTTTATCCAGGCCCCACTAGGCCTGCTGCCTCCACTGCTCGGTAGCAATGCTATAGAGATGGGAGGCGGGAGAGGCTCATGCCCCCACAGCTGCATTTGCCTACCATGAGCCTGACTTTGGTGCCCATTGGTCAGCTGAGTGGTGCTCCCATGTGGAAGCACACTGACCACCAGGGGGCAGCTCCTGCAGTAAGCATCTGCCCTCTGGTGGTCAGTGCATGTCATAACTACCAGCCAATCATCTGGTTGTCCAACCAGTCACTTAGGCTTTTAAAAATATATAATTTTATTTATTTATATATTTATATATAATTTATTTGTATATGTATATATAATTTATTTATATATTTATATATAATTTTATTTATTTATATATTTATATAAATATATATAATTTGTGCATGGGTAGGAGGTGTCCCTCAGCTCATTCTGCACCCTCTCCAATCTGGGACACCTCGAGGGATGTCTGACTGACCATTTAGGCCCGATCCCTGTAAATGGTCAGTCAGACATCCCTCTCACAATCCAGGACTACAGGTTCCCAACTGCTCACCTGCCTGACTTCCTGATTGCCCCTAACTGTTTCTGCTGGCCAACCTGATCACCCCTGAACCACTCCCCTGCCAGCCTGATTGATGCCTAACTGCTCCCCTACCAGCCTTATTGCCCCTAACTGCCCTCCCCTACAGACCTGATCACCCCTAACTGCCCTTCCCTAAAGGCCTGGTCACCTCTAACTGCCCTCCCCTGCAGACCTGGCCCCCCCAAACTGCCCTCCCTTGCAGGCCTGGTCCCCCCCAACTTCTCTCCCCTGCAGGCCTGGGTACCCCCACAACTGCCCTTCTCTGCAGGCCAGGTCTCCCCCCAACTTCCCTCTTCTGCCGGCCTGGTCACCCCTAACTGCCCGCCCCTGCAGGGTTGATCACCCCCAATTGCCCTCCCTTGCAGGCCTGGTCCCTCCCAATTGCCCTCCCCTGCTGGCTCTCTTGTGGCGACCATCTTGTGTCCACAACGGGCAGCTATCTTGTGTGTTAGAGTGATAGTCAATTTGTATATTACTCTTTTATTAGATAGGATAGAGGTCTGGTGCACAGGTGGGGGCCAGCTGGTTTGTCCTGGAGGATGTCCTAGATCAGGGTGGGGGTTCCCTGGGGCATAGGGTGGCCTAGACAAGAGGTCTGTTGTAGTTTGCAGACCAGCTATTCCCCCCTCTTCGCCCCCCAGCAACCCAAGTGGAGGCCCTGGCATCTGGGATTTTTTATCTTCTATAATTGAAACTTTGTAGCCTTAAGCAGAGGCCAGGGCAGGCCAGGGCTGGTGGAAAGCTTGGCTTCCTCCATCAATGGGGGCAACCCAAGCCTCCTGCTCTCTCCAGCTCTGTGGCCATCACCATATTTCTTGGGTTAATTTGCATATTCGCTCCTGATTGGCTGATGAGCGTGGCTTTGTGGGCGTAGTGCAGGTACAATCAATTTGTATGTTTCTCTTTATTAGATAGGATATAGATGTTTGGCTCCCTGAAGACATGCACAATGTAATTTAATGAAGTACTAAGAATCCATGATTTAGAAATTTTATGGCCCCTTGAACTAATTTAGCTGTGGCAGAATGTGTAAGATAAAACTGTTAAAAGATCATGATTCTTTTCAGTGATGAATTCTTTTTGTCAAGAAAAAAATTTTTAAAGTACCTGTCTTTGCATTACACTAATTAATAAGAATATTCTATGCATAAATCTGGGTTAGCAAAGTCTCATTTCTTGCTTTTCAATGTGTGAATTACATATGATCAGTTTGGCCTCTCCTGGCTTTTATGAAAATGCTGATGAAAGCACAGTAAAAATGCTGGGACTTACTAGTAATTTTCAAGTAAATGTAGCTGTTCCAGTGGCCAGGAAGAGGTTAATGTGGGGGGAAAGGAGACATATGTCATACTTTAAACAATAAAGAATTTAAATTAAAAAAAAACAAAAACTTAGCTGTTCCTTAAAAACTAAAATAAGAACATGTACTTTGTTTGAAGAGAACAAATTGCCAGAAGTTTCAGGGCTTCTAAGCGCCTTTACTGAATGTCAGTGGAGCAAATTGAGGATGGCACTCAGGGAGTATGAATGCAAGGGATTCCGGTGCTCCCAACCTTCAGATGCTGCAGAGAGAGCAAAAGCCACCGAGCAGGACGTGCTTAATGAATCTGAGTAAGTGGGGACTTAAATAATGCTGGTAAGCTGCTCTGAGCTCCCGGAAGACATGCACTATGTAATTTAGTGGCCATAGTATTAATTAAGCACTTTTGCTCTAGGAAGTGTTAATAATTTAGAAGTTCTATGGCCCTTCAACTAATTTAGCTGTGGCAGAATATGTAAGATAATACTGTTAAAAATTATAGCTCTTTTCAGGGACTAACCTTTTTGTGAAGGAAAATTTTTTTAAAAATTCTGTCTTTGCATTACATTAATATGAATATTCTATGCATAAATCTGGGTTAGCAAAGTCTTCATTTTTGCTTTTCAATGTGTGAATTACATATTCTAAAAAGACAACTTTGAGCTCATCGGTCTTCATAATGCATTTAAAATTCAATCTTCTTTAAAAGTATAAATAAAACAGTATTCATACATATATGAATGAGTGGCCTGTATTCTCTGTGCACTCTTAATTCTAAGAGAAAATTTAGGGCTAGGGATTTAAGAAAACCCATAATATCAACTCAGTAATTGATGCTTTAGGTTTATAAATTTTCTACGCATAAAATACCCTTGTTTATATACTTAAAGAGAGAATATGCCATATACTCAATCTTCAACCCACAAAGTGATGTGAACACAGATATTAACAGGGCAAGACATGGTAAAAACGCATGAGATTAGGGTTCATGAAACTCTACAGCAGGGCTTTGCCCCTATTAAGTGTCTTGGTTTCCTTTATTTCCAATGGGAGGTAGGTTCAAGGTACTATTTTCCATAATCTCTGTCTACTAGAAAGGCTTGCAAATGCTCAAAAAACCCTCCTACCTCATTAAATAGCTGCCATCCTTTGATACTGTATTTTACTGGGCAGATTGGCTCTGACTTTTCGCCACGTTCATAAAAGTCACTTGAGTTTATTATGCCTTTGGACATCCTAGCATGTCAATAATCCAAATGTCTGTCAGCTCCCCTGCTCCGGGGCCTAATAACGGAGCCTCTGCCACCTGCTTATCCCTGTCCTGCCAGGTCCTATTCCAGAGATTCCTGCATGCTTCCAACCTAATCCACACGGATTTTCACAGTGAGGGCCAAGCAACATGATGGATGTGAAAGGTGACGGGAGCTTTATAGATTGCATTGGTTGGTGACAGTGACACCCTGGCTGCACTCTTGTTCTGTTCTACTGGGTTTGCTTCCCTTTTCTGGGCCTCTGTTTCCAGATTCCACAACCACAATTCATTTCAAGGGCTACAATCGGTGAGACATAGAATGTAAATTTCCTCCAAACCGTGCTATAATACTTAGTTAAATACAAATCTGATGTTACTACGCTATAAAACTTACTCTTTGATGCCTTCTAACAATTTGAAGTTTAGGTTATCTTCGCTTCTGTCAAAGAAACCCTTGTTGTCTATAAAGACCAAATGCCTTGGGTCATGCTTCCGCTGGATAATGTGTGCGAGAGCCACAGAATCTTGGTCGTCACATCTTGGCCTCAGTCCATTCTGTACGCAGGTATCTTCCTTTCGAGGTTTGAATCCACAGCAATTTGTATCTAGGCGATTATAAATCTGAAAGTGGAAAACAAAAACAAAATCCAAGATTCTGAGTAAAAGCAAAACTTGGGAAAGTGAGATGATTTCCAAAGAACTGGCGCTTTCTAAGCAGCTGACTTGCCAGAATCTAGCAGAGCCAGGCTCGTTTAATTAAAGACAACTGTCAGAAGAAGCCCAGGGTTCATATCCTTCTGACTCAGCCATGGTTATAAGCATTTCCAGCTTCTGCTAACAACTCCATAGGCAGCTCATCCAAGTTAGCGTCTCCACCCTTCATATTCAAAGTTCCCACTGACATCACAGGTTAGGGCACAGCCAGAAGAACCTCTGACTCTATTCATGACAGAACACAGAAACTGCTGTGCTTTGAAATATTCTGAAGGCTACATCTTGTTTTCTCCCTCAGGCTGGGTTACAGAAAACCTAAGTTATCTCCGTGTCTCTAAAAGTTTCCTGCACCCCCGACCCTCTCTTGGGCTTCAGTATTACTTAGCTAACTTGAAATAACCTAGGAAAAATCTATTGAAAAGATGTGACCTCCAATAATGATAACTGAAAACCCTACTTGTGTGGAGCACACAATTAGACTCTAAATATATGAACAGAATGGATCAAATTATTGGACCCAGTGGGGTTTATTATGGAGAATAGAGCCACTGTCATATAGAAGGTAAACAGAGATATTGATTAGAAAAGGGAGAGTTGTGTAATTTCTATTTCTTTGGAACGAGGAAGAAAATAATATTTATTAATCAGGATAAATTAAAGCCTGGGCTCAGGTATTAGATGAACATAAAGTCAATTCTTTGCTTTCACACTTGTTAGCTCTGCGGTCTTGTATATATTCCTTTTCATTGGTGACTCTCAATTGTTACCTTTACCGTGGGAATGATACTATTCGCCTTGCACAGTTAGTGGGCAAGTTAATGGAAGTGTCTGTACACCCTCTAGCCCTGACCCAGACATCTAGAAGATATTCAAGATATGAAAACTGTTATTACTATTGTTAAGAAATAGATATACACCTATAAGTGATTTATCTCAAAACAAAGCAAAAGGCTTACAAGACTAGAGGTAATTTCTCCATTTTCATGAAGGAAAACTGAGCCTCATATGGGTTAAATAATCTAGTCTGGATAAAATATTAGTTAGTAGCAAAGTTATGATTTAGACACAGTTGTGTTTGTCTCCAAAATCCCATGATTTTCCCCCAGCATGTCATGCTGAATAGTTTAAGGCTAGCCAAAGATTGTTCATATACTCATGATTCAAAAGATGGCTAGACACAGACTGTCACTTTTATTCTTTTGGCATTAAGTTCCCATCCTCCCATGTTTTTGCATTTCCTGTAGGGCTAGCCACTTTAGGAGGACAGTTGCTAAGAAATGAATGCAGTAAGACTAGTACTAAATTGTAGCCTATTTTGAAATGACGATTCGTATATTCATCCAACAAAAGTTTACTAAATATCTTCTACCATCAGTGGGCTTTGCACCACGGCAAATGCTGGCCATGGCCAGCACCTCCTACCACCGCTGCTTCCAAAGGAAAATGGTCATTTAATTTTGCCTCACTACTACAGCAAACTTCAAGAACTGGGCAAATGGCCTCCCTCTCTATTTTCTGTGTGTAAGTGGGCTTTGTATCAAATAACATCCTTTCAGAAGCAGGCATGAGAGAAGTCAGCCTAACAAAATTTCTATGAAGTTTATATAAAACCAATCACATGGAGTAAGGATGGTCAGTGAGCCACAAAGCATTTGGACAGCTCAGAGGGCGCATTGCTGGTCTAGAAACAATCTGTCAGTGAGGGAGGCTTCTGTCAGGACTGGTTCCAGGGAGCTGATCCACTGGGGCCATGATCTAACCAATGGTTTATCCAAAAGGTGACAAGCCTGACTCTGAAGAACAGGAAGTTCCCACTGCTTAAAATGCATTTGTTTGACATGAAGATAGGAGAGTTTCCCACCCAAGCAAATCACTGTAAGTTAAAAGAAAAAAACACAAATTAGAAACTATTAGAATTTATTGAGCATTTTCTACTCCATTTTTCATTCCATGCAGTATCTTGACTGCCTTTGAATATAAGAAAAACCAAATGATATAAAGAGATTGCATTTGTTTTTGTTTTATTTATTTTTTTAATTCTTTATTGTTTAAAGTATTACATATGTCTCCTTCTCCTCCCATTGACCTTTCCCTGGTGTTCCCACACACACACACCCCAACACATGCCACCTCCCCACTACTGTCTGTGTCCATGGATTCTACTTATATGCATGCATACAAGTCCTTTGGTTGATCTCTCATTTGAATGTTAATTAAAATCAGAGGGTAAGAGAGAACATGAAAAATAACTCCTCTAGAAGTTGCTTCCATCCATTCTCTCTCTTTAAATATGCATTAGTTAATAATTCTCAAAGAATTTCTAGACCATTTTTCATCATTTTCATATATTTATATCCAGTTATAACGACATTACATATGGGGGAAATTCTAAATCCTATTTAATTTTGACTTTAACATCAAGGTCTGTTATGTTGGATGTACATGTTTAGAACTTAACCTTTAAGGATAACTCTACCAACCACTTCCTAAATACTGCTCTATTCCCTAAACTCATTCTTCATTGTTGATTTCAAACTAAAGGACTAACACATATATTAATATAGCCACAATTCTGCTGTTTCTGCATTATAGCCATGTGAATCGTATACATGAATGTTAAATAATAAGCACATTAGAGCTTAGGCTCTAACTTTCAGCACTTCTGTAAATGTTATACTTTTTTATTTTTAAACTACATAAAAAGCATTAAAAATTGGAGATGGAAAACACCAACCTAGGTCATATTTTTATTGCCTTCTCAACATCACGTTGTTTCCTGCAGAGTATTTTTAAAGTGCTTCATCTGATCTAATTTTGAATCACTCAACAATCTGTGGTGATTTTGCCACTTCCCTGACAGACTGTTGTGCCATTTAAGTCTAACAGACCTTAAAATTGAAAAAGGATGTGTGTGTTCAACTCAACTTCTCTTCCAGAAAATATTTACAATTCCTTTAATCAGGTCTACCCATGTACTTGGTGGATATGTTCACATGCATTAACTGTGTGTGTGTGTGTATGGGTGTGTGTGTGTGTGTGTGTGTGTGTGTGTGTGTGCGTGTACACCTAGAAATATAGCATTGAATTCAAATCTGAGATTTACTTTGTTTTTCTCATCTTCCAACTATAGTGAATTATGTCTTTGCATTATCGCCCTTGTCTAGCAAGGGCTTAAATAGCTCTTAAATCTTGTTCCCTATCTCTTCTCAGCATTTTGTTTATAGTCTTCCTTTCGAATTCATATTCAATATATCAAAAATAATTTGACCACAAAACCATAATCCACTCCCTAAAATTCAATGCCATTTTCTTTTGTATTGAATTTAGTTACACACTGGGTATATTTCTGTTTTCTTTTCAGAGAGCTTAGCTATTTTATAAAATATACTCTAGATAGCTATGAATCTATAATACACTTTTAATACACTTGTTTAGTGAACACATAAAAGCAATCACTTCATTTATAGCATGATTAGCACTATAGTTCACATCTATGTTGTCTATATGCTTAGATAATTATCCAACAAAGATTATTTGAGGGTAAATTTTCTCAGTGAGGTGATTGTGAATGTCAAGCATCATTATTGCAGTTTGTTCAAATTTACATCTTCTCACTCTTTAAAATAAGGAAAATCTTTTGCAAAATCGATCTGCTGAATCTGAAAATTACTGCCAACCATCATTTTCCATAAGATTACTCTTTTAGGAAAATATATCTTTTCAATGTTTACCTAACTAAAATTATACTCAGAAAAATCCAGGTATTCCAGCCAACGTTTTTGTTGCTGGGATATTTTTAGGTACATTGCCCTTCTTCTAAAGTTTCTTTTTAAATTCCATTTTCCGTTGGTAGTATTAGTTTTGCCTGTAGGGGAAAGTATCTTACCAATGACAAGTTATGCTCACATATAACATAAACACGATGCCTCTGTTGCACTGACCAGCTTTCCAAAGCCCCTTAGAAATCTACAGGCTTTCAATGAGTTTCCACCTTTTTGCACACCATCCATTCTAGCTTGTGTCTTCGAAAAGTGGGTCTATCAAAGCAATTGTGTTATGGTCTTTGAATCGCACTTTGAATTAACACAGTACAAGACTGCCAATGAGGTAAGAGAAACATGAAGGCAGGTAGATAGAACAAAAATTAGTAAAAGTATTTTACCTATAAGTAAAAGCTAAAAAAGCTGATGTGTCTACAAGTTTCATTCTCATTTCCTCATGTACAGTTGGAAGAAAGGTAATAGGCAAGGTAGCAGGGCATCAGGTGAAAATGTTAAGAGTGAAAGCAGAAGGGAACCAAGGCCAAATGTAATTGGCAGCTGAAGAGAGAGTTAAATGAAGATATTCTTCTTAATATAGATTATAAATTGCCTTTATCCAAATGTTTTTCCTAATTATTTTAGTTAAAACTACATAATCCTGTGTATCTTTCTACCTCTGTTTTTCTATACTACTTTAAGTGTGTGTATGTGTGTGTGTGTGTGTGTGTGTGTGTGTGTGTGTGTAGAGGGGGAGTGTTTACTGTATGGTAAGTTAGTATCTTAGGATTCTCACCATCCCTTTTCAAGCTATTTGTTTCTGGCACTTAAAAACTTCATCTTTTAAAAAATGCATTTGTACAGAGAAAGCTTAAATTATTCGATAAAACATGTAATGAGTGGAGTTTAACAGTTCACAGTAGTAACTCATCCATTGCCTTTACACAGTAGGCACTTGATAAATGTTTATTATTGAAAGAACCCTGATGAAAACTTATATTCACTTTGTATTTGGCTCTTTAGAAAGATCCTCCAAAACCGTGGCTTTTACTGGAAAGAATCAAGTAAACTGAGTAATGTTGACATATTAAGACATGGGCCTTTTTAAATTAACATCTAGTGAATAGAATTGGGGAAAAAAATATGAAG